GTTAGTTAAAGGTCGGTACTCCGAAATAAAGTTAGTCGATACGCCACTCGTCTATCTCTTCACACCTCTCCCACTTTATAAATAATAAACAAGAGTAACGAATCATTTTCCCTTTAAATTTAAAGAAGAATTAACCTTAAAATCAAGTACATATATATGATTTGAAACTCAGTCGTTTTGTTTGAACTTTTAAATTGTAATTCTGTAAGCCAGGTTGCACAATACAAGTCAATGGCGACCTCGGGCAACCGCAACCGGTGTACATTCACGACAATAATTATCTCGCACCGACTGGCAACACTGGACTAATACATCTTAGAACAGGAGAGGAGGTTACTATCGCTTGCGTCGGATCTGGACAAAAAATTGTACATCCCAGTGTTACCAGTTCTATAGATATTGGTGTAAGTTTGAGCATTTGTTAATCTATACTAATATAATAAAACATAAACACACACTAATTTGTGGCGTAGGATATAATCATACACAGCAAATTTTCGAATAATTCTTTCTTTTATAAAAAGCCCTACACTTACTACATGCTTTAGGCTATTTATTTTCACGCTATTAAACTTAGAGGGTAAACAAATTGGGAAAAACCCTCTTTTAGGATAGGGTCCATAAACTACAAGCTGCCAACATCATTGAAGCAAAATTGTCAATGTCAAAGGCCTTAGTTGTCATTTGGTACTTTAATTTTGACGTTTGCAATAAAAAAAATTGATAAATGTACACAATAAAATAAAGTTTTTATAGTACCATGCGGATGAAGCCGCTCGGGCACAGCTGGTCATTTCTATAAACGAGTAAACGCTCTCGGTCCTAGCGATATAAGGGTACAATATCAATATTCCACCGAAAAGTTCTGGTCTCCTTATTGAAAGGACAGATATAAATGTAACTAGCGTAATTAACTTAACCACTCAAAGCCAGTGATGCCGCCAGGATGGCGCGCTATTCCAATACGTCTGCTTGACATTGAACGCTGTCAAATAGAGACGGACTTATATGCTAATAATCTTGTATTATACTAATCCAGCGCAGTACTGATTTTCTTCTTAACGTTATCAACAAACTCTTTCTTATATCACACTATGAGCTTGCTATCTGGGAACTGTTCTAACATGTGTTTCCACAGCCTGCAACATGCGTGAACGATACCCTCTTCTCCGGTAAAGGATGGATAGATGGAGTGTTAGCTTTCGGCGATCTCACTTGTTCCTCCCATTGTACACACGAAGCTGTATTAACATCTGAGAGATGCTTTAACAACAATGTCGTAATTCGGTAAGTAATATATACAAGTGTTGCTTACAGCTAATAAGTGTAGCAAACAATTGGAATAAACGCTTCAGCGTTTCCGTTCAATAATGTCTTAATACTAATCTGTACTATTATAATAAAGCGTAAACACACACCTTTTGTTGCCTAAGATGTCAGCAATTACAGCATATTTTTGAATAATTCTTTTTTTAATAAAAAGCCATACACTTACGTCACGCTTTAGGCTATATATTTTCACGCCATTAAACCTAGGGGGTAAATATTTTTAATGAAAACCCTAATGTGGGAAAGTGACCATAAGTTGCTGCCAACATCAAGGAAGCAAAATTGCCATCCTTTATCATCATGTCATATCTGTCATTTTGACATTTGCAATTGAATTTGACAAATGTAATCAATAAAATAATTTTCATTATTTCATGCGAATGAAGTCGCATGGGAACTGCTAGTATCAAATATTTTACGACTGCATCCCAATTTGCTTTCAGATTTAGTGCTTGAGCTCTTGTTTAATTACTACTAAATAAATAATAATACACAGTCAAAGTACACTATACTTAATTTTTTACAGAGTGGGTTTTACTGTGAACAATGTATTTTACCCACTGTACTGGTCTTGCTTTGATCAAAATCGTTTGGAAGTTCTATACGTGTGGTATGAACAGAATCCTCCCAATGCCGTCAATCAGGTTGGCGTCGCTCGACCAAGCTGGAGAGGTAAGATACATATTTTTAGTGACTACTACTTTAGTTTTGCATACTTGGACTACTCACAGCCCAGTTTTCGATGTCCAAAATACAATTGTCGTTAGGAAGCGGTCACCGTAAGACAACTTCGCTCATATGCTTCGGTGTTAGTGTTATTATGTTTTTTAAATATCAATTGCCTAATTTAGAAGCTAATCCGCTGATGATATCACTTTGATTCGAATAATCAATTTAGTTCATGAATCTGATTTCCAATAAAATTATCAAATATTATGTAACTACAGTAAATATTATTTCAGCCAGCACATTCTACCCTGGCGTTGATGTCAACAATCGTTACACCGTGGCGCAACAGAAAGTAACCATATCTAATTACGTGGGAAGTGATTTGGCGGAGAAATACGTCACCAGTACGCAGTATTTAGCTCGTGGTCATCTCGCTGCTAAAACTGATTTCATATTCGCAACAGGACAACGAGCTACGTTCTATTTTATAAATTGTGCTCCTCAATGGCAACTCTTTAACGGCGGCAATTGGAATATGCTCGAACAAGTAAGTGTAAAATTAAATTTATCCATTCAAGGATAAATAGAAGTATATTGCAGGATAAGCGTCTTTAAATTGCAGTACATTATGATGTCAGTATACTGCACCGGTTGGATTGTCTTTCACGATTATAAGAAAGCAAACTCAACCGTTATTATGACTTATACAATCATTTCAAATACATTAAGCTTGTTGACTTCCATGATTTATTACAATTTTAAAATTTAGTGTATCGTTGTTATAACAATATTTTATTATTACAGAACCTTCGTACACGAATCGGTGAAGCTGGTTACAATACTATGGTTTATACCGGAACGTTTGGAGTACTTCAGTTGAGAGACTCTAACAATCAACTTGTTGATATCTATCTACAGCGAGATAGCAATAACAATACTCAATTGCCGGTACCTTTGTATTATTATAAGGTAAGATATGAAGTAAATTAAATCAATGAATTTTACTATGTATGCCTTCTTTGAGATTATATTTTATTTTATTTTCGGTTTCTTAAAATATCTAAATTACTTTAGTTATGTTCTGTTACTCAATTGGCTTGTGATGAACAAGTCATAAGGGCAATTTTTTAATCGTTTTACTTAAACTAAAGATTCGATCCTTTGTTAATTCATAATTAATTCATATAAAATGATATTTCTTGCTCGCGACTCAGTTCGCGTGTAATTAAAAAAAAGCCTATTACTCTCTGATAACGTAGCTTTTTATTGGTTAAAAATTTTTGTAATCCGCCCTGTAGGTTTTGAGTTATTTATTACATATAATATGCAAAAATACAAATCGATCCTCTTTATAACATTAGTATTTTTCTTGATCTTGTAATATTTAGTTGATATACTTTTTTTTTAATACAGGTGGTCTACGATCAAGCAAATCGTCTTGGTACAGCATTCGTCGGTATTAACAACCCTTACATCACTCTGGAAGAGGCTCGTTCTCTCACGTTCTGTAACGACCACTGTCGTAACAATTCCTCCTTCTCCTGGCTCGGGTGGCAACCAGACCGCATTGATAGAGGTTACAGCTTCTGCTGCAGTATCGACGACTTTAGAACATTTGTGCCACATTTACCTACATTTACTGTTACTGACCTACTTACGTAGGCAGTGGTATGAATGCCCTATCTATTATTAGATGCTAATATTTAGCGGGCGCACATTGACTAAACTATTGCACTACTGTTGTTCGATTGTCAATTGTTTTGCAGCCCATTCAATTGTTTAGATGCACAAATAAAATTATAGTTTCCGTACCAACACATATGTAGGCTCATAGAAATTAAAGTTCGACTGAACAGTTGTAAGATAGTTAAATAAATCAAAGGTGTACGCGCGCTGTAAAGGTTTAAGTATTAAAACAACGTATATTTTTGGAATAAATACCTTTTTTTAATATTATTCTATACTATTGAATCATGCAAACGATACCGGTTACAAAGTTATTAATAAAATTCCTTGAATGCAAAAGATCCTTTGGAATTTCCCATCACAAGTTGTTAATGACGCCGTTCACTTGTCCCTTTTATAAATTTCAACTTTATAGCCTTATTTTGCAGTATAGCTAACTAAAATTATTCTCAAATATGCCTGCAACTAATACAATAAAACAAACAAGAACAGTATTATTTACTAGCTTTCACCCGCGAATCCGTCCGCGTGGTATTAAAAAAGTGAGTAGCCTACGTGTTCTTCCAGACTTAGCTCTACATCTATGCTAAATTTCACCCTGATCCCTTCAGCCATTTAGGCTACAAACTCTAACAAACAACCGTCCGTCCATCTAAACTTTTGCATTTATAACAGGTACTAGCTTTCGCCCGCGACTCCGTCCGCGTGGTATTAAAAAAAACAAAACCAAGTAGCCTGTGTGTTCTTCCAGACTATCCTCTACATCTATGGCAAATTACATTGAGATCCGTTCAGCAGTTTAGGCTACAAACTCTAACAACTCAAACATCCATCCATCCATCTAAACTTTCACATTTATAATATTAGTATGAAGTATGATTATTTAGATGTATGATATTGATTCTTGAATATTTTTTTTTATTAAATTATCCTACTTTTCACTGCCACGTTTTATCTAAAGATGGACATAATAATTGACGAACACACACGTGTTGCTGATCCTGTCTTTAATGTACCTGTACTCGTATATGTGGAAGCGTGTTCCGGCAAAGGAAATGGCACCTTAAAAAACTTTCTTGAACAAAAGGTGTGTAAAATTAATAAACATATGATTAACAAACAATTTCAGATTAAATTTTTTGATTGACCAGATTTAATTAAAAGATATTGCAAAAAATCCTACAGGTAATGAGACCACCTGCGAACACACTTTTATTATAAGTACCCATCTCCGTAGAGAATATAAATTGATTTTTAATGACGAAAAAACGTCATTGTTTATACATTATTTACTTAACTATGTATATTTAGATACCCTTGTACCTATGCAGCTTACATAGTCTGCAAATTGACATTTATAAGATTAATCTTACTAATATTATAAATACGAAAGTTTAGATGGATGGATGGATGTTTGTTAGAGTATGTAACCTAAACAGCTAAACGGACCTGAAAAAAATTGGCATAGATGTAGAGCATAGTCTGGAAGAACACAAACTACTTACTTTCGTTTTTTTATAATTCCACGCGGAAGGAGTAGCGGACAAAAGCTAGTAGTTAGATAAAAATTATCCGTTAAAGAGCGCGCATACACCATTGACTAAACTATAGCATAACTGTTTAGTCCCGCTTTGATTATATGAGCTTGTATGGTGCACACATTACTCGATTTTTAGTTGTGCAACTAAACAGTTGAATTTGCTGTGAAACAATCGACAATCGCATTGTTATGCGATAGTTTAGTCAAAGGTGTGAACCGCTCTAACTATTTATCACCTGCTATCACCAATACAATCTTTCGTATGAATAATTGCTTATTATCTTCTTACTTTCAATACCTTGTATCGCTTTCATTTCTTTTAACTATAATAAGCAGTTAATGTTTCGTTGTTAGCGGATCGCTCTAGGCGTAACAATTAAGGCCTATCCAAAATGGCGTAAGTGCGGTGCGGAGATCGAGCGTCTCTTCCATTATACGGTACACTATAAGTATATTGCTATGCAAATTTTATGGTAGCTCAGACCGTCGCTGAGGCTGCACTGACCACAATGAGAAGTATGAGGATTACTCAAAGATATAAAAGGCAGGAGGATATTCTCTAACTACAGAAAGTCACTTGAAATCAATCTGCACATCTAACCACGAGCTGCTGTGGATTTTGAATTTCATATTACTAAGTTTGCCATAATAAACGCGCTGCAAGTTTTGTTGTGAATGGTATCTTACGTTTCATTATTGCCTCCTTTCATGAGATGCTATCGATATAAATTACTTTTCGTCTGATGTATGGTGGCCAAAAGATGTTGTTACCGCGAGTTTTTACTACCGATGCTCGTGCAAAACCTTTCATCCCTCTCATTCAGCTTAAAACAAATGAGACAACATTACCTTTTTGATCTTCCTATTTAGTATTTCATTTATTAAGATAAATGGTTTGAGTATAAAGTGTGGATAACAAGAGACTTGACTTAAAACTTCTAAAGGACTCTACCTTGTTTTTTACTTTCCGCCGCTCATTTCAATTAATTTTTTATACGTATTAATGACACACGGTCCAATGCCTTCGTTATCTAAACAAAACATCGACTGGGACACTCGTGTCAAGCAATGAATGTGCGTGCCACTAACTGGTTTTTAATTTAGAATGATCTGTCAATGGCATCGTATAGTGTCCGAGTAATATGAGCTCAAAGGGATTTGTCATTCTAAGAGCGTGTACACACCTGAAACTAAACTATCGCACAACTCTTTAGTCTCATGTAGATTCTTATGAGCATATATTGAGGTGCGCACACTACTCGATTTTTAGTTGTAAAATTAAACAGTTCAATTGACTGCGAAACAATCGACAATCGCACAACTGCGCGATAGTTTAGTCAAGGGTGTGCGCCTGCTCTAAATAGACGCTTAAGGACTATTTTTATAAGCGTTAAATGTCTCTGAGTGCGACAGAAAGTACTTTATCAAATATTAACTTATACCCTTGACGCCGTCCGCGTGGAATGAATAAAAGTAAGTAGCCTATGTGTTCTTCCAGAATATCCTCTATATCTATTTCATCGAAATACGTTCAGCAGTTTAGGATGTAAACTCTAACAAACATCCATCCTTTTAAACTCTTGCATTCAAAACATTAATAAGAAAATAAAAGAACTATTTACATGTTGCTAAATAAACATGCCAGTTAAACCTTGAGTAATGTATTTAGTGGGCTGTCGCAAAACATTCTTTATGTCTACCAATAACAGATTACTTCGAATTAAAAACGAGTTATCTCATACCAAAACATATGTTAAATTATATTTTATTGAAATGATTTAGTCGCACCATTAGTCGAGTAATGAATAAACTAAATCATTTAATTCGTAAATAAATGGCAACTCGAAGTGTGAATAATGAAGGCACTCATCACTTAGTAATCATACTAAAATTATAAATGCGACAGTTTAGATGGATGGATGGATGTTTGTTAGCGTTTGTAGCCTAAATGACTGGAAGGATCTTCATGAAATTTTACAGGTTTAGAGCATAGTCTGGAAGAACACATAGGCTACTTTTTATCCCGGGAATAGTTACGGTTCCCGTGGGATTCATTAATTTAGTTTTTTAATGTTTACTCGATCATTCTGCAACGGTTCAACATATCTTATTGAAATTTGGCACAGATATAAAACAAAGTCTAGAGTACACGTGGAATAAGCTTAATCTATATAGTAGCTTTTTGTAGTTTATATAGTTTGTATGTTTTCTAATACCACGCGGACGAAGTCGCGGGCAACAGCTCTTTAATTATAACATTAATAAGTAATACGTTATATAAAAATATTGAAAACAAGCATGAAATTACATAGCAAGTAAAATCGTCGGTTTTTTTTATAAAAGTCACATAAACAACAAGCAAAACAAGTTTTATAGACCCATTTGTATGAAAAAATAAAATGAATTTAATTTATAAGCTAATCTATACCATATCTATATAACTAGTAACTGTAATATCAAAAGAAAACAACAGTGGTAGTGCCCGCTTTAACATCTTAGCACTGCAGGGCCGGCACGCCCCCAGTAATACCACGACCACACAGAAGACAGGCGTCAAATGGAAGCAGTTTCGTGTTTCGTCTGCTGAGTGTGGTGCCGGAGGCCTAATTTAAATCCCTTTCTCTTTACCGCCCTTTTCTTATAAGGAGAGGATGGGAAAGGAAAGGATTTGACGGAGGAGGAGATACATAGGAAGGGGAAATATCCTCTTTATGTGCATCTCCTCCTCTGTCTGATAAGGGTAGGCAACGCATTTGCAATTGCGGATGTCTATGGGCAGCGGTCGCTTCGCCATTTTGGCGGATTCAAGTGGCCGCTTGCTCGTTTGCCACCTTTTGTTATAAAAAAAAAAGAAAAATTCCAGATTTCGGGAAGATGATTTATTTGCGTTGCTGATAACGAAAATCGCATTTAAAAAATGTCTGTATCTGTTCGCAAGCCGTGTTTGTTTCGGATAACCTCCGAAACGGCTGAGGTTTCTACGGGACTTTCATTGAAGGGTAGCTTACATGGATAGGCATATCATAGGCTACTTTTTTAATTCCGCGCTGTCATAATGGCGTAACGGGTGGTCCAAATTTGCGCCTACGAAGTTTGCGGGTGACAACGCGTTCTTAATAAAATTCTAAAAGACACATGTCAAATACATTAAAATAAGTATAAAAACAGCTTAAACGCACAATCAAAATTTGTTTTGACCTCCTGAGCTTGTGATGAGTCTTGTTATAACTAAGGTCAAAAACCACTAGTCATGATCGCTGGAATTTACAAAAAAAAAAAACAATAAGTAAACTTTGATGAGAAGAGGTCAAATATCAACGTCTCAATTACATTATAACATGTTCGTTGACAGTCACATTCTAATAGAGATTGTTATCGTTAGAATAATCAAAATGTGGAAAGATTCAATAGCAAATTGACGGAAGAAGCACCTCATACTATTGTGTCTATGTAATAACTGTAAAACAATAGAAAATCGGGCAACGTACTTTGAACTAAAACAAAAGCTATTGAGGTGCTCTACCTACCTTTACCTCTACAAAGCAAGCGGTCCGCCCGTCAAAAATCTTTAAAATAAGATACAATTTGTACAGAAATTTTAACGATTTTAATTTAAATAGGCCGCTAGCGATTTAAAATGTACAAGAGCTTACGTAACAATGTTCAAAATTGCTCGGACATAAAAGATCGACAGTGAAAGCGAAAATGTCTCTCAACGGGAGGCGACACGAACCCACTTAACATTTTGGCTTCGCATATATTACTACGTCATTATTATAAGCAGATCTATTGCTTTTAAACTATCTATAATAATAGGAAGTAATCTTATAACTTTATTTTAAGCTAACTTCCGTTTTACCTTACAGGATTTATTTTTGTATGTCCTTAAAAGGAAAAGAAATCTTTTGGAATTTCTAAGTTCCTGCAAAGAAACCGCGTATCATATCATATTTTACCTAACGTCCACTATCACAAAGAACTTCATAATAAGACATCATAATAAATAAAAGCATTTATTTTAAATTAATAATACTTCATTCTATGTAAAGATGTTTACTAAACAGCGCTTTCTCTGTGCATGGTGAGGGTGACGTCAGGTGGCGGGTCATGTATGACTGGCAGGTGGCGCCACTGCGTCAAGCCTACTTCTTCTGTTTCCAAGTAGTCGCTACTACGGGAGCGCAGGCTGCAAGACGAACGCGCCTTCAAATCTGTCAAAGATAGGTTACTTTTAACTGAAACATCGCACAACTGTTTAGTCTCGCTTTGACTCCTGTTATATGGTGGTGCGCACAACAGTCGATTTTTAATTATGCAACCAAACAGTTGAATTGATTGCGAAACAATCGCACAACCGTTGTGCGATATTTTAGTCAAAGTTGTGCGCCTGCTCTTAAGGGCGTCTTAGAGATAAATGAAAATACAAGAAAAAAACCTGTTACTGTTTACACTTCTGAGTTTACAGTTTCCGCGATCATTGAAACCAAAAGTTAGCTAAAAGCAAAGAAAAACCAACCTACTATTCAACTCGATTGATGGTCAACTTTGTTCAACATAATTCAATAATAATCAAAACCATAAAAAGAATACTAGTATATGAATATATCATTTAAGATGTTACCCCTCGTACTGCTCAGAAACTCTCGCGTTATATCGTCCATACCAACAACTTGTATGACAGGCACTGGTTGCTTGATGCGGGACCTCCTCGCTGCACAAACTGCTATAGCAGTTGATATAATAAATACTACAATTAGTAGAACACCGCCAATTATAATACCCACGTCTTTATCAAAGAAAGCTGTAAAATAAGAAATAGTAATTTAATTTATCCACGTGGCGATTTGAAAACACAAACAAAAGAAAAGTCAAACTATGACGACGCGTCACGTTTCGTTACATGAAAGAGAAGAAACATATCGCATAGTTATTGAGAGAAAGAGAGATAGAATGTACAAATGACGATTTATGACATAAAACGTAAGCTTCAACATTATCATGTAACATCATCAAAATATTGTGTTTCTTTTTGTCTTTATCTCTTTGAATTCTTTTATCACTTCCATTAACGTTAAAGTTACTTACAGTACCACCAAGGAAGTTTCGCGTCATTTAATAGTTTCTCAGTAGGTCTCAAGAGTAATATTTCCGAACTGCCATATCGATTACACGCAGCTGTGCCCGCCTCGTCTCCATCACTAAGAGTCCCTAATAGACCTCCAATACGCCATCCTTCATCAGCATTTCGGATAAGAGTCTGTGCACCAAATCCCAACGCACTTTTACTATTCAGTATCAAAGATGCGTTACTCTTTGACATCCGCCACACGGTGATTTCGTAATGTGTTGCATTTTCAACTAAAAGAAAAGCAGTTTAAATTACATAACATATTATAAGTTATTAGTGCAGTTAAATTTTAACTTTTATTAACATTTACATTAATGTCATCGCATATTTAATTATGCACTATCAACCTCCTTGGCAAGAAAGAGGTTATATGGCAAGGTGAACCTGGCCACATTCAGGCGACGCCATGAAAAATAATAGATTAAAAAAACAAATGACAATCGGAGACGGAGAGTGTGAAAAAAATAAATGAGTTTAATAGGCAGACAAGTTTTTTTTAAAATATTTTAATAGTGTTAGATTTAAATGGCAAATGATATTTGATTTGAAAAACAAGAACATGTAAGTAATGAAATTATTAATTACCTGGAATACAGTGTATTAGGAACTGATTACTTTCGTAAGATAAATCACATTGTCGTGGTGCCTGCGGTCTTAGATGTTTGAAACTAATTATCTTAGTACACGGGTTACGTTGCTTTAAAATCCCATTCTTCGCTTCGCACGTAACGTTAGCTGTTTTTGCTAATGAGATCGTAACCATACTAAGTGGCATGGAAGGAGATGGTGTAGTTATGTTTTGGAACTCTGAATCTGTACGTATGTGCCATTTAAATAAATTAGGATTAGGTTCAGATTGTACATGACAGTTAATTATTTCATCCCTTAGTGATACTCCTTTAGTACACTCTGGTGAATCTGTAATATACAAAACTCATTAATATAGGTATCAGAGTATATCTACAGTCTTACTTTATTAATACTGCTTTTGCCAGTGACTATCTGCACGGAAATTAAAAAAAAAAACTTGTTTAGTAGCCTCGTTCATCAATATGCTCTGCATCTGTATATTTCGTCCAGATCCATGAATCTATTCTGAAGATACCTAGGAACATCCATCCATCAATTTTCCGATCCTATGACTAACGCCTAGTCACACCAATAACGTTAGCTCGAAGCTCTCAGTAAGAACAAGTACGAGTTATCACTAGTTACAATAATCTTTTTAGTATATAAAAAGACTGACTTACAAAATACAGTAATTTCCACATCTTCTGCTTTTCCTTCGCCCATACTGCTTTTGGCAGAACAAGAATATGGTCCAGTATGCCTTCTCATAGCTTTTTTAAATATCAACGTATTTCCGAATACATAATCGTGCCAATCTTTGTTTTCATTGATATTTGTATTCTTAAACAAAAAATATTTATAAACTATCTTTCACCCGCGACTCCGTCCGCTTGGAATTAAAAAAAAAGAAAAGTGAATAGTCTCTGTGTTCTTCCAGACTATCCTCTACGTCTATACCAAATTTCATCGAAATCCGTTCAGCCGTTTAGGCTACAAATTATAAAAAACACCCATCCATTTAAACTTTCGCATTTATAATATTAGTATAGTATGATGGAATAGTATTTATTGAAGATTGTAATACAATATTTAATTATGTTAATACATACTACAGGTGAGTATAGATTTTTTAGTATTTTTAGCAAAAATAAATACTTTATTAATTTATTGTATTATTAAATAATAATAAATCAAATTATTTCAACACTTACATTAAAATACCAAATAAATCTATCAACGCGCGGATTCGCTTTGACTTCACAAATTAATCGAAATGTATCATTCTCGATGACACCGTTTAATTTACCGGTTCCTACTGTTAACACTTCCACTATTGGAACATCTGGAAGATAAAATATTATGTATTTAAGATTATAGTCAAAAGAATAGAATAAATGAACATATTTTTGTATTTAGTCATGAGATAAACATTGCCAAATTGAGGCATTAGACCGGAATAATTCAAAATTAAAAAATAATCATGACCTAGCTAACCTTAAATTCAACCAGTGTCATTTTTTGACCGACTTCCCAAAAGAAGGAGGTATTCAATTCGACGGTATGTTTTTTTTTTATTTATTTTTTTATGTGTGTTATCTAATTAGACATTAATCAAAAACTAGGGAAGAATGTAAGACTAATACTATATTTTAAAATAGTTCAAGCTTAGACTTTAACATCAAAGTTTACACTACAATAAGTTACACATAATATGTATAAAAATGTGTGCAAGTCGAGTCAAAACAAAGTACAAAAGAGTAATTAAAAATACGTACTAACATGTAACATTCAACGTGATAACATCGGCTTTTGAATTCTTTCCCGGAGGTATGGCAGGGTTGGTGGTAACACACGCCAATGTTGCCCAATCGTCTTTCATTGTTGGTGTTAATTGAAGGTATGATTCCGCTGTCTTTGTCAGATTATTCCAAGTCTACGGAGATTTATAAATTTTAAAAACAATTGTAAATCTATAATTAAAAAAGGCAGATATAACAATTTTTGAATTTTTTTTTTCGGTAGTGGAAACTTACTGTAAGCCACTTTATTCATTCATAATACTCATATGTATTTATAAATAAGTACAGTCACCTGCACAAATATATATACAATTACAAAAATTCAAATCATACGTCTTCGTTTTCAAATGTATATACGTTTCCGTCCGGTTAGTGTTAACATATTTATGCATCTGACTGTACTTAATTGCTTTTATGTGCATGCCATTGTCTACATCTATGTATAATTAAAAAAGTAAAATAAAAAACACCTGATTACTGTACTGTGTGAGGTGATTGTCATTCAACCACCAGGCTATATCAGGTGACGGGTGTACTTCATATGCTTTACATTTTACAGCGTAAGTGTTACCCGCTTGAAGGGTATTTCCTTTAATTTCTTGAAGCCAGTGTATCGAAACGTTACTGGCAGACACTATAACAAAACAACAAAAAGATAAAGCAGTGAAGAATTTTTTAAAAAAGTTTTAATTTTATTATGCTTACGGTATAATTCTACATCTACATACGACGATATAGGGGCAGATAGTATAGTGTTCGTAGCTTCACAGGTTATTCTTTTTGTGTCTCTCGTTAGTGTAAGATACAATTCATTCTGTCTCACATTCGGTATGTCGCTGTCACTGCCAGAAGCGTCTACAAGAACCTTGCCATTGTACCAATTTATATGCGGTGAAGGTCTCCCTGAAAGATTTCACACATTTTATATTGTTTCTACGTGATTGAATTACATTATTTCTATGTAGCAATCGATCAATAATAATGTTGTTGGATTGCAACAACATTATTATATCAACAAATGTGTGTTTACATTTTATTACTCTACTATAAGTAAATATAGATAGACGTATATCACCTCCAATTACAAGGCAGTTGATCATCAAAGTATCTCCTTCGAAGTATGGTCCAATTTTATTTTCTATTTTATTTCCTATCTCGTCCAGGAAAAATGGCTTACTGGGAAGCACTGGAATGTTAAAAACATTAAATACATCTTAACTAATTTATAAAAACACTAAAGAAAACGTGGACATGGCCTCTTTATGTATTTTAAAATATATTTTTTTAATAGCATTTAAAATTTTAACAAGCTATAAGTTCAATACTGTAATTGATTTTAAAATAAAAAAAAGATGGTCATTGGATTCACTATGCCAGGGCTAGAACGACGGGAAATGGCCGCCCAAAAAAATCCTCTTTTAAATAATATAAGTTAGGCTAATTTTCTAAAAACTTTCGTTAAATCACCTTACCAATAATAGTGAGGTTGATACCAGTATATCTAGTAGGGGTGAGTAGAAATTCAACCCTGCAGTGGTACAAAGCCTCATCATCTGCTCTCAGAGATCTAATGTACAGTGGAGTAGGACGTTTACTTAAATCTGTACTTAATCTACCGCTAGTATTAAATGTTTGACTGGACCATTCAATGTTACTTCGAGCGTCGTAGCTAAAAAAATACATTAGTGAATACTTCGATAATCTTTTACTTTACAAGATAGTGAGGATTGGTTTTTTTAAGAATTCAACAATACAATTTTATTACTTATATTTCTAATATTTAAAAGAAAGTGATTTTTTGAACATTATTATATTTATTGGTCGACATCTCTACCTACACTGTAGAGAGTGTTATTACTAACTTCAATTTATTATTTTTATATCTACTACCTATTTCCACTTAGCGGATAGCCGCGCAAATCTTGTATTGTATAGCCTACATGCCGTAATGAAAACAAAGCCTCAGCTCCATGTAAACGCGGCAAATCACCAAGTGGAAATTATATCTAAGCTAAGCAAAAAATATATTTAGTATAATATAAGTGCACATAGAAGAAACTGGTTTTTCCTGTTGCATCAGAAATATTCTGATAATAACAGATTTTATACAGGATATAATCAATCAATATAACATTTATGGGCTTAATTTTTTTTTTATTGTGGTCAATTAACAGAAAATAATTGACTGGAATATACTACTAAATACTCATAGAAATATGATTTTAATTGACCAAATAATACCTGGAATTTAGAAGCATAAAGTTTAGTATTGCAACAATTAGTTACTAGCTAGTTTTAATTGTTATTTATTTTACCTGTAAATAGATTCATCTCCTTTGTACCACACAAGTAAGGAAAGTTCGTCATCACTTATACCAGAAGTATCACAGTACAGAGTTATGTTGTCATCTTCTAAAGCTTCTTGGTGTAATAATGGTCCTAATATTGTAAAAAATAATAAAAACAATGAATAATAATTTAGAATGCGCACACTTTTGACTGAACTATACCACAACTGTTTAGTCGCACTTTGATTCCTATGAGCTACTCGATTTACAGTTGTGTCTAAACAGTTGAATTTACTACGAAACAATCTACAATCGTTGTGCGATAGGGCGCCCGATCTAATGGAGAGTTCAACAATTTATCTGCCGCTATCACCACCTTACATCTTATAGGTGACATATCTGTAGTGACGGCTGAGGACGGAAGAAAGTGCAAAACACGATTTTATTTATAAGGAAGATATTTTAACACAGGTCCCACCTATCTCAGGAAGTCCCAATGATTGTTGTACAAAAGTTTTTATTTTTATTTGCAATATTCACTTATGCATTGACATATATTTTAAAATGTCTTTGTGCTATTAACTAGTAAGTGAATTGTGTTAATATTGTACTAACTTACCATCAATTCCGATTATGAAAGCGTAGTTAGACGACAAAACTAATATAAAATATATTAGCGCCTGAAAGACGCTCATTCTATGGCCCATCCATTACACTACCATTTCAAATAATTCATTTTTAAAACGTAGTAATGAGTTTTCAATAAGTGAAGTTAAATATAAATGGTATAAAATCTAATTGCTCGTAATTTCTTAATATTTTTTGTAATTCCGTCAACTAAAATATTAAAATCAACTTTGATATTCACTACACATATTTAAAACATTTTAAAATCAATCATTTGTTATACACTCCTTGATCACTTTTAAATTTCACGCTTTTTCTTTCGACATAAATCTAACATTTAAAAACCATCAGCAAACATTTATACAACACGCGAAATTAGTTCGATACGAAGCATCAACTTGGAGCAACAGACGTGCTTCCACTGACAAAGACGTTTTTGGACTGAGTTAATAACGAGCCGAAAATGCCTGAACGTAAACGTGTTCCAGTGGCCACGGTGACGACCTCTGTCGTATTTTCTACAAAAGCTAGGGCTGACATCTCTTCAGGTTTGGTCAAAACTCTCCGGGTCGAATGTTGATAAAAGTCGGTGTTATTTTGTTCGCGATAGTCCTTGGTGGACGAACTGGCGCGCCAGTCTGAGTCTACGTTTATTGAAAGCTGCCAGCCCTACTCTGTATCCGGTTGATTGCTTCTTAAGGGAAATTCTTTCTATGGAAGATAATAACACGTTCAAAATAAATAATTGCACAAACGAACACTAGGGTTGCTACAAAAAATTATGATCTTAAAAGTATAGCCTTTTTGTAAGACGTTGTTTGTAAAAGCTTATTGTATCTAGTTTTAAATAAATAAATTGTACGGCCTTGAAAATGCTTGTATTTTTTTAGTTATTTAAGTAAATACTCGTTTTACTTTTATGGATTTATTTCACACCATTCTTCGTCTTTAAGTGACGTGGGTTAAAGTAGAGCTTAATAAAAGCTCGCCACAACTAAAATCACATCCCTAATTTGCCAATGAATCTAATTATTGTTATTAATTGAGAATTTAAAATGAAATATTGACTAATAACTAGTTTGAAAAATACCTAAAAAATGTGTAATGGATGTTATATTTTGCGAATTTTAAAATATCGCATCAATCAGTTTTATTGTCAGTTTTAATAATTCACCGTGACCGCCCACATTAGCAATAGAAAAACTGTGATGATGTCACGAGTCATGGCTAAAAAATGTCCAAAGCTTTAAGTTTATCAGGCATCTGTCAGACTTCAATCAAAGTCAATCGAAGCTTTTACTAAGTACTAAAATTTCGGTCGAAAAGTGGCTTCGTGAATCCATAAATGGTATAGATTTATGATTTTTTAAACTATTTCTTCGTTTTACATTTCACTTTTAACCAACTACCAAAAGGAATAGGTTCACAATACTTGTTTTTATTTACAGAAAAAAAATGTCTTTTCCGTATCTGTAAATTTGAAGACTCCACGGTTGAGTAACTTCCATCTCTCTCACTCTGCTTGAATAAAATGAGATAGCAATTGGTTTTCGTGCGATAGTGGCAACGCACCAATATTTCCTTGATACTTGTAGTTCGTGAATATAAATGTGTTAACATACAAGCAATAAATCGTTGACAGCTGCAAGTATCCAAGATTTTAAGATAAACTAATAGTTAAAATCAATTCAGTGTCATGTTTTGGAAAATTAATGAAAACATTTACTTTTTCCATACGACGCCTTTTGATTATCTTAATTATTTATCTCCATGGTATTATACGAACACGCACATTTCTCAACCAAATTTTTTTATCCTTTACCCTTGTCCTTTTTATCGTTATTTTACTTTCTACATAGGTCTTTGCGATATCCTCTTCAATTAATTTATTGTTGTATATACTCAGACCGTCCTCAGTGCAAACGACCGATGTAAAAACAGCGCGGAATTAAAAAAAAAACAGAGGACCTAAAGAATCTGTCTAACTATTAACTGTTTTTGTACATTTATGATTTTTATTTTCATGTTGAATTAAAACATTGCATGTCCCACATACAGACAGAAGCAACGGAAGCGAACTATTGCTAACAATTTTTTAGCAGGCACATTATTCTAAATTTTCGCGGTTTGTTTTACCTTACTCAGTGGTAACGCAGCTTTTTAATAAACTACAGTAGTTATTGAGTTATTTCAATACATACAAAAATATAAATAACTCTTTATAATCTTACTTAACATTATAAATGCCAAAAGGATTAGATGGATGCTTGTTATAGTCTTAGAGTTTGTGGCCTAAACAGTTGAACGGATCTCGATGAAATTTAGCATAGAGAATAGTCTGGAAGAACACATAGGCTACTTACTTTTGTTTTTTTTTAATTCCATGCTGACAGAATCGCGGGTGAAAGCTAGTATTAGCATATAGGTATAGATTACTCGAACTGAATACATATTTTTTACGGCAGATATATAAAATTCTATTCATCTGTGAATATTTAAATTCTACTATGGATTTCCTCAAAGTGTGTAAGTCCTTAGTATAGGGTATTTCATTAGTTCCTTGAATTAACACTTCCAGCAATTAGTATTGTTTATCTGTGTTGGTTCATACATCATTCGTTTAAACAACGGCGCCACGAAGACGGATTAATTAGCAACATCTCAATTAAGGAAATGTATGTAAGGAATCAGAGTTATTTATATTTATATTTTAATTAAATGCAACATAACAATATAACTATGAAGTTGTTTTTGTCCATAAAGCTCATTTTGATGTCAAGTTTGGAATACAACGACATCTGTTTTTCACTGTCTTTAATACAATGAGTCATTTTTTAACGCCGCTTCAGTGTCTTTTAAAAAAATATAGATGGTGCTAGATTGACTGAATCGCTGAACGGTTTTAAACAAGAAAAAAATTCTGCTATTCTGAAAGATAACAAACTAATAAAAGTATTGACATTGTAGTTATACAGGTTTAATACCAACTATCATAAAAATACCATACTTGTTAGGTTGTTGTTAACTTGTTAGGTTACATTACAACTTGAAAGTCTTATAATAGTATTGCCAGTACTCGTTTTTATTTTGCCACAACTACTTTTAGAACAATGTACCGTAATGTATAATCCAGTTTTATAGGTTTTAATGTATGAGTTTTTGTTTTTGAATTACCGAACTCTTTATTGTAACTCTATTATATGTATCTCTTATAACTTTGTCGAAGATATGTTTTGTCATTAAAATGGAACACTTTGACATACCATCATAATTTTGACTACGGCTTAGTTTAAGACCAACGCTTTAGCTTTGCGAGCTTAGTTTATTTTTTAAATTTTGTAGTCTTTTAGAAAATTAATAATTCATAGCATATTATTGTTTACAAAACACAAGGTATTTTTTGACAGTTTATTTTGAAACACATATATGGCAATACCTATAAGTTAATCCGTCTACCAACCCGAGCAAACCCGAGCCTGAGTTTCTACCAAATACCACTGTGCAAGTTCACGACAACAAAGTGTATTTTGTTTGTGTAGTGCATTATAAAATGACCTAAATTGTGATCAGTGAAACTATTTTGTGAACATTTCATAAACAAATCAAAATAATAAGATCGTGAATAGCGATATGATACTCTCCTTGGCAGTGTTCTAAGATTGTGCTCATATCGCGAAGTTTCATAATAGTGACATTATGATAAAATCGGAGATGTCTCCTAAACTACCGACCCAGAAAAAGAGGTAACTTTATCTTTGGAACAGCATTTAACAGTTAATTCATAATCTATCCATGACTTTTATGTCTAAACTAATTTTATGTATGTTTTTCCTTGTGTGTCAAAACTCCACTGTAACTTTCTCTTTGACTTTGTCTCCACATGTTTTAATATAAACAACTAATTTTCATATGAAATTGTAATGTTATCATTTCATATAGTGCTATATTTACCTATAATTAAGATAATTTATGTAATCCTTATTACCTTCTTAAATTTAAGAACATAATTATTTCTTTCAGCTTTCTATTTAAACAGTACAATATTTTCAAAATCAAATTTTATTGATATTGTTATGATTTACGCCACGTGGAATATCAATCGTTTTAACTGAAATCTTAATTAACTTTGAACTTAACAAAGATAATAGTTTTCATCAAGTTAATTAAAAAAACTTGGAAAATGAGCAATAAAGTGAAAAACTATTTGCAATAATTTATTTTTATTACTGGCTATAGCAACCAAAATTTAAATATAGAAAATGAGGTAACACACTGATGCAAAACTGAATGATATTACACTGAATGTTTTTAAGTGCAACTGATCAGAGATAAAAGTTTGGTGACTCTCTACTATGGTAGACAACTTAAAAATTTGATATTTAACAATTTATTTTTATGACTTATGGATTTTATTATATATCTAAACTCTATGTTTTTATTCATTCAGGATGTATTTAACCTTAAAAGTAAAACATACTAACAATATATCCATTAATGCTTGATGTGAATTCATTTGTCTTAGCTGTAAGTTTACATTAAAAGTTGGTATAAAATAAATAAAAAAAGAATTATATGTTGACCGACTTCCCAAAAGAATGAGGTACTCAATTCATCTGTAATTGAGTACCTTGTTCTTTTAAGAATTCTGTCAACAAATAATCACTAACTTTGCTGTTGTTTCTTCACGAATGGATTTTGGTAAAACTAATTTTTGCAATTCAGACTATCTGAGGGTTAGGCTAATCAATATGAAAAATAACAAGAATCATTGTTACTAATGAAACAAAATTTGTCTTGTATATTATTAGTTGGTTGGACTTTATTGTAGTTAGCAAATGTTCCAAAGTCCAACATGAGTTTGTTACTGATTTTGATGAGGATTGATGTTGGACTTTGTAATGTAAATTATGTTTTATTTTAATATGAAAAAGGAAAACATACTAACTTAAAATATGTTATTGCAGTGTAAACTGCTGTCTTTTATCTCTTCGGGTAATTATTTCTGTATAAAATACCAGAATGGAACTATTTACTACTACTACTTACCATTAACTATCTTTCCAAATCTTTTACCGCTTATCATATTAATGTTTAAGCTACCCAAATATTTAATTTTATAGTGTTGTATTATAGATTTAAGATCTCATTTTCCTCATAACTTAGGCTATACACACTATCAATCATTATTCCGAGAAGTATGTTCTCTGTAATTTTTTTACAAGCCTACTCTTATCACGTAAGCAATTTTTATTATCAATAGGTGTGTCATAAATATGCGCCTTTTATACATACTGAGCAAAGATTTTTGTTGCTTGCGAGTGTTTATCTTTCTTGATTGAGTTCTTAAAATATTTTTTTTTTTATGTAGACAATTTATATAAATCGTATAATTTTGATATATAATTATATCTTATCCAATGTAAAACGCATTGTATTTCTTTATAAATATCGTAAAGAAACATATTTTTCACCCATAATCCCGAAAGCCAAGTAGAAACAAAGAA